AGAGAGATTGAGAGAGAAATCGCAGCATTAATGTCGTGGTAGTTTTCGATGCATGGAATGCCGATACCGCGTAACTTTCAGGGTCTAATCATGCAAATGTATTAACCGCTAATTAAAATTGACGCAAGTTGCGTTCTATTCGGTGACAATCGATCGTCGATTTCTTCCTCTTGGCGTTACGCTAGGCATCTATTCGATAGGACAATTTTCAGACTTCTTTGCGAGCTTTGTTAACGAGATAGAGGCGATTTAACTAAAGAGACGATCGTACGAAAAGTAGTCGTATTAATCGTTGCTAGGTGAAAATGAATATCCTGGAAATCAAATATACTCTTCGTTATTGATGTGTGCTTTGTTTGTACAGTAGTGGAAGTTCACGGATTTGAAATTTGTATTTATTCAATAAATTTGTACGCTTGTAATATATTGTTTAAATATGTTTTAAAGTTAATATTCGTTCACGCTTGCCAAATGCCACGAATATCTTATAAACGTCGTTCGTTACTTTTTCGTAGTACCGCAGAATGCCGAAGAAACGAAAATTCCCAGCGATTTTTAACTTGCAAGCGATAAAGAAAAGTAGAATAATACGAAATAAGTATTCGGTTACTTTATACATCCTAATAATAACCACTTTGCGATCGTCGCAACCGGTGTGTTCAACCGTCTTTTTCGACTATTCGCAGCGCACGAGAGGTTACGTCTAAATCAGACAGCCGCTTCTCCTTCGACATTCCACGATACGCGTTTCGAGATTCCCAGCGTAGAAACTGGGAATTTTAACAGCCGTTGGTCTATAATTTCGGCGACCAGAAAATTGCTTCAAAGATTTATAACGGACGAAGTGCGATTAGAGCAGCTGGTTTCCAGCATTTTGAAAATCGCGTCTCTAGCGAAATCGGTCGAGGTGACAGACCGGATTCGCTTGAGTTTATTTCTGATTGCATCCGTGCGGACCGATTCGGCGGCCGGCTATTCGGCAGTTAAGTAGAAACAAATGAAGTGAATTCAAGGAATTCGAACTAACAATAAGACCGCGGTCTTTCGGGCTGCTCTAAATAGTTATTCGAAATCAAACGCTCCAACCGATCTCCTTTACCTCTACTTTAAAGCCACGTTTCTTCGCCCATCTTTTCCTCCGCATCATCCGACGTTTCTTATCTTTCGCCGTTCAAACTGAAACTAAGGAGGGCAGATGTCCGAAAAACCGACCGCTGGAACGCGTCCACCGTTAAGAAAATCTGCGACACGCCTGGCGCATCGTTCACCGACGCGCGTGAGGTACGCGTTTCACGTACTTGCGTCTCTCGCGTTGTCGAATTTATTTTTCTCCAAATGGAAAAGAGTCGCCGTAAAAGAAAATATCGTACGTCTTGGAGCGTCGATCTCGTTCGAAACGCGCGTTTATTCCACTTGGATAAATTCGAGTAGAAGTTGAACTTATTAGCGCCCATCGACTTATTCATAAACGATGCAACAGCGTTGCCATTACGCGAGATAAACGTCTGGATGTAACGTTCCGCCAGGGTAATTACGATCGATGTACGAGATCTATAATCCTTGGTGAAACACGGAAAATACATGTTAAACAAGCTGGCGTAACACGACGTAACGTCGAAACGGTAGTAAGTTATCGTGGAATCGTTGTTTGCTACTGAATATTCTGCGGCTATGAGATCGTGTTAGCGAATTATCTGATTGGAGGATGCACGTACGGGGTCGAGTTTTGTCGATCGACTCTTTCAGATCTTAAACCGAATCGTTTAAACGCGAATCTGATTTTCTTTTTTCTTTTTTCTTTTTTTTTTTCATCTTTCCTGTCACCGCTACGATTTTACGTCGCGTTACGGTAACGCGAGTCTTCCGTTTTTTAACCAGATATCTCTCGAAAGTTTATCGCGTTTGTATCGTTAGCGGACAACACAGGGAAACGACGCGTTCGCAAATTTTCTGCACTTTGTCCGAATTCTTCGAGAACGTAAGCGTTTCTAGCAGCGCGAATCTTAAGGCCATAAGAAAACAACGAACCATTGTGAAAGTTTCAGACGCGAAGACCACGGTTGACACAGTGGCTGAATTTTTCAACGGCGAGTATAGTATAATCGTTGGTATCTCGGAGAAGAAACCGCGTTCGAGTAGTTAAATCTCGAAGCAGAGCGAATCGTTGGATCGCTAAAACGTGCGCGTAATAGAGGTTCCATTGTGAGCAAAATTAGCGATCGAAACTCTTTGTAACGTTCGTGCAAAAATATTCCGCCGAGCAACGAATCTGCCATTATTTTCAACCGTTATTCACATGCTGTCGCGTTAAGTTACAAATGGTGGAACGATAAAATTTCACAACCCTCGTTACCGTATCACTTTTCGTTATTAAAAATTACAACGCACGAAATTTCCACGGTTTCAATTTCGCGCATGTCACGAAGCTGAAAATTTGCAAATACGAATTATTCAGCAGGATCCCCATTTTATTTCGCGCGTTTCGCTAAATTGTTTTTGTCAAACACGTAAGGCTATTACGCGGACATGACAGCCACGCGAAATCGTAGAAAACACCGGGCCAAGCAAATTTGCGTCGGTGCATATTTTATACATAGCAACATGGGAAACCGGTAATCGGATTGAACGATGCCTGGCCTCGACTCGCATCAAAATTTCCGGAAAATATTCTAATTGATGGATCCCGGTTTCATTCGATATCGCGATATTATCTATACATGGATAAACGGATCGTCGCGTCGCTTCGCCTCGTACAACAACGACAATCACCGTCGATAAAACGCATTTTAATCGAAATAATTCTTCCAGGTTTTCGATCGCTTTCTATCCCGATCGTTTCACCGTGATTTCTCCTCGCCTCTTTTCGTATTCGTCCGAGATCAACGCGATTTACGGTCTTCCTGGTAATATCTCGCCCTCGTTTCAACGAATTCAAACGTTTGCAATTTCTAAATAGACCATCGCCCGTTTTTTCGTATTTGCGCAAACCTTCGTTTCCAGCATTTTTTGTGTCGAGATTATTAGTCGTATGAACAGAGGAACGCGTGGATAAATTGTAAAGTAGACAAAATATTTTAACACAGAAGCGTAAGTACAAGTGGAGGAATATAATTATGAGAGGTGGTCCCGATCCACGCGCTAACAGCGTTACCCTATAACTGAAAGCCCCGAAGCGATCGTCGCCTGTCTACTGCCTATGGTCTGCCTTCGTTCCAGTCTATTGTTTATACGCTGTCGATGACTTCAGCGCTTGAGAAAACTGCAAAGACCAGATGTACAGTTTTCCTAGGGACGGTGACCACTTCGACATTTCGGCTAATTGCAAAGGGTATCGAATCCGTAGCTAGCAAGGCGACCACTGACGTTGCTATTTAAAGTTCAACCACCGACAAGTCCAGCCTCCGCTGTTTCCTTGCCGAATACCGAAACATTCCTCGCGTCGGTACTGCTCCAAAATCGCTGACGATTTTTCCGTGAACGATCAGACTCGAGGGATGGCATCGCAAACGATCGACAACGTAGACGAGCCAGCGTACTATCGCGCTGTCGATTCCACGTTCGTAACTTACGAACGAGAACTATCCAGACGCAAAATCGATTTTCTAAACGTCTTTTCAATTTTCAAAAACACCGGTACTCGTGAAACTAGGAAACACGTCGGAATAGACGGACACGGGATAAAGTTAATCAACCTCGAACGAACATCGAAGGAAATTCGTCGCAGCTCGATGGCAAAGTTTCGAGCGACGCGCCACGCGACGGCCGGTTGCGTTGTGTTTCGTTCGATTCAGCCGTACGCGAATTCGCGATCTGTTTTGACAATTTCTACGTACGCTATTAGCAAAGCGAACCGTCGCTATTTTGCCGGACGAATCGCAACGTTTCCACGACGATGTACGTCATTGAACGGCGACAGGGAAATGTTATTTCGCGAAATAATTTAACAGTATCGCGTTGATAATTCGTTAAGCGCGATCAAAGGGCGTTAAGAATAATCGAAAGCGATACGAAGCTTGTTCTTTTTGCGAATGGAAAACTCGCAGCCAGAACGTAAGCAAGACAGGTAACAGGCTCGTATCGTGACGATTTAGTTCTATCGAATTTGCTCGTCGTAAGCATTGCGCGCGAATAATTTATAAATTCTATTTTATTGGAATTTTACAAAAGTACAAGGAGAATGCAAAGGGAAAATCTTTGACCCGATCTTCGTTACCAAATTACCGTTATGCGACGCATTATTTTCACGTCGTAATGCCCGAAAATGAATAACACGTACCGACTATTTGTTTACCGTTGTATTTTATCCGAAATCTTTGAAACGTCGAACATCGAGGGATTTACTATAAAAAGTTTCAGACGATGGTTACAAACGTTTCTAATTACCGCATAGCTGTTACTTCAACGATACGATTATTACCATGCATTTTAGTCGTTTCAGCGAAGCTACGTATCTATGTAAATATTAGAGAAATCACGATCGATTTAGCGTTTGATGCACCTTCTTATCGTTCCAACGTGTCTTTGAATTCCATTGGTTGTGCTAAAATATCGTTTAGCCGCTTTATTTTTGCAGCGTGACTCGGTTATTTTGCTGTTACAGATTTTCAAAATAGGACGAAGGTTATAATATTAACGTAGATCGAAGGACAATTTCAGAAGCCCCGTTTCAACGAACTATTCAAATCTACCTAGATTTTTCTTTTTCTTTTTTTTCTTTTTTCCTAATTAGTCGACCACGCGAAGACGAAGCGAAGAGCAAATAAAAGGTAAAAATATTCAAACAGTTTGTTGAGATAAAAAATTGCGCAACCTGTGTGTAAATGTATCTGTATAACAAATTTACAGTGATATCGCATCGCGCATTGACCAACGATATTTAAATACATCGAACAGATGGGATTTTTAAAGCTATTTCATTTTTCTACTAATCGTAAATAAATCGCAAGAATCTATGGTGTAATCCGAGCAAATTCTAAAAATACGTTTGATGGTATACGTACTCTGAGAAGTGAGGTCACCGGGCTCGTCCTGTATGTTAACGGGTGAGATTTTCACTGACCTTGGAGGGCCCTGAAGGCTGAGAGGCCCGGGCCCTCCGGCAGCGGCCATCCTCTGCATCGCTGCACCCCCGATTTCCATCGCTCTTCCTGCCCTGCGCACCTCTCTCGACGATTTTCGAGCAATCTTGAGGCCTTCGTGCCAAGTACGACCGTCGGCCGTACTTACTTTTCTATACAGAATTTGACTAAAGTCTCGACCTCGACGTTCGAACCGACTCTCTCTTCCTTCCCGATCAAGTCCACCGAGGGAATCGTCGACTCGCGAAACGAACCGGAAACCACTTCTTTTTTTTTTTTTTTTTTTACAAAGTTACGACATTCGATTCGTTGGTTGAACGACACACGAATTCGTTCGAGAACGAATATTTCCAGTCTGCGCTCGAGTCCAAGGTATTCGGACGAATCGGCTGCGTTCCGACAAAATTCAGTTCAGTTTCTTTCGCTTCTGGCCCGCTTTCACCGATCCAGCAGCGTCGTCCGGTTGGCAATTGCACGTGTCAGTCGCGACAAATATTCGTAGTTTCATTATCGAGCATTTCCACCGGCTATCGACAGAATCCGCCGCGGAACAACCGTAGTAGCTCGTGGAATTCCTGAAATTTCACGTTACTCGCTGTGTCTCGCACTTTGGTTATCGCGCGAATTCCCTCGCAGCCATGTTGGTCGTGGAATTTCGTTTTCACAGCCACTCGTCCACGGAACGAACGAATCGAATCGGGTTTGTACGGTTTCAGCGAGAAGATTCGCATTCGCAGCGATAGCTCACCGGAGCCCACGCCATTTTGCGATCTTCCGGGCGAACGACGTCCTTTGCATCTTACCCTGGTCGATATTTGCCCGCGATTCTCTCGAAAACGATTACTACTACTACCGAGAAGCACAGATGTTATCGGCACAAATTACTTTTCTCGATAAATTCCTTGGGCGTTTGCGGTATCGTCTGACGGGTATTGCGATCTTCGATCCTTCGAACGTGCTTCTGTCACATAAACATTCTGTCACGTAAACGTTCTGTCTCTGCGTAACTCTCTTAACCAGCCGTTGAGACGGAGACGTTGTTCCAATATCGCTACGCGGATCACCGGTCCACGCACCCCGAGACTCTTTACTCCGTCGATTTCGTGCCACGGTAAAGAATCGTTCTTCGTGGACCTACGGTTCGACCGAATCCGAAGTGTCGTTTAGTCGATCTCGTGGAGAAGTCTTCCGGAGCGGAAGGTCGGTTGTGCTATCCCATTAAAGAGAACGACGAGCGTGGTCCGACAGAAAGTGCCGAATGCGCGGCATCCGTCAGAGACGAGAAACGTGGAAAGTGGCACGTGTGTGCAATTATTATTTCCTTATCACTCGCGGCCGACAATGACGGCGTTGATCGTGACGACGAGCAAAAAAAAAAGAAAAATAAAAAGTATATACGCACGAGGGAAAGGGGATGGAAAGGAGAGAGGGAGAGGGCTCGAGGAAGAAAAAGGAGGAGAGAGAGAAAAAAGAGAGAAAGAGAGGACACGTTACACGACGCAACACCAACGAGACTGACGGCGCGGGGCCCTAGGAGGCACTGACTGCCGGTTAGGTTCCTATAGAACCCAACCTAACCAGCCGATGCCCCCACCTTCGAGGTCGACCTTTTCGACCCCACTCCGATTTCAGTCCCACCACTCGATCCGCTCA